GGTTTAGGGTTTAGGGCTTGCAGTTTAGAGCGCTTGGGGTTTAGGGTTTAGGGCTTGGAGAGTTTAGGGGTCCAGGGTTTAGGCTTTAGCGTTTAGAGCCAGAGCTTTGAGTTGAGGGTTCAGGGCTTAGAGTCTTGGGGTTTAGGGTTTAGGGCTTAGAGTCTTGGGGTTTAGGGTTTAGGGTTTAGGGTTTAGGGTTTAGGGTTTAGGGTTTAGGGTTTAGGGTTTAGGGTGTAGGGGTTTAGTGGAGTTCAGGTGTTTAGGGTTTAGAGTCGGGGCTTCAGGGCCTCAGCCCGCCATCCAAAAGCTCTGAAGCCTCAAGCCTTCAATCCTGAAGCCTAAACCCCAAACCCCAAACCCCAAACCCTAAACCCTACTTCCCAAACACTAAACCCTAAACCCTAAACCCCAAACCCTAAACCCTATTTCCCAAACCCTGAAAGGGCTGCCCGCAGTCGGTTGAAGGCTTCCACTCTCAACCCTAAACCCTAAACCTTGAAACCCTAAACTAAAAACCCTAAACCCTAAACCCTAAGCCCTAAAACCGTTGGCGAAGGCTTCCGGCTCTGGTGGTTTAGGGTTTATGTATCGGGCTCTGGGTCTCAAGGTTTAGGGTTTCGGTTTAGGGTTTAGGGTTGAGGGCTTGGAGAGTTTAGGGGTCCAGGGTTGAGGGTTTCGGTTTAGGGTTTAGCGTTTAGGGTTTCGGTTTAGGGTTTAGGGTTGAGGGTTTCGGTTTAGGGTTTAGTTTAGGGTTTAGGGTTTCGGTTTAGGGTTTAGGGTTTAGGGTTCAGAGCTTAGGGTTTTAGGGTTTTGAATTTCAGGTGTTGAAGGTTTAAAGATTCAGGGTCTGGCAGTGGCGGGTTTCGGGGTACAGGGTTTAGGGTTTAGGGTTTAGGGCTTAGGGTTTAGGGTCTAGGGCCTGGGTGGGATTAAAAAAGGCAGCGCGAACCTAAGCAGGGTTCATTCAGAACGCAACCTGCATCCAACTTAGGGTTTAGGGTTTTAGGGTTCAGGCTTTAGGGTGGCTAGGTTACTAAACCATAAACCCTAAACCCGAAAGACCCTAATCCCTAAAACCCTGGGTTTAGGGTTTTAGGGTTTAGGCTTTAGGGCTTAAACCCTAAACCCTAAACTAGCCCACAGGAACACTGCAGGCTCGGCTTGTTGACCCCAAAGAGGGGTTCAGGATGCAAGGAGTTCGAGTTGCAAGTTTGCGTTTCATGGTTCAGCGTTGATGCTTGCAGGGTGCAACAAGTAAGATTTAACTAAACCCTAAACCCTAAACCCTAAACCCTAAACCCTAAATTAGGGTTCGGGATTTCAGTTTCGAGCCTCTCGGAGAAGGCAGAACTGCGAGATCAGCTCCATCGCGCCTTTGCCTCAACGGGCGTGGCCATAACTTGCAGATGACCCCTCCACGGTCTCATCCCATGTGAAGCCCGCAGCCCTAAACCCCTAACCCCTAAACCCTAAACCCTAAACCCTAAACCCTAAACCCTAAACCCTAAACCCTAAACCCTGAAGCCCCCCAGCTTTGGAACCTAGTTCCATATCCAGGGCCACCCAAACCCCAAGCCCGAAATCCTGAGCTTAAACCCTAAACCTTTACATTCAACCCCAACCTAGCAGACCTTGATCTCAGGTACCCACTGGCAGATGTTGAACCCGAAACCCTAAACCCTAAACCCTAAACCCTAAACCCCTAAACCCTAAACCCCAAACCCTAAACCCTAAAGGTTACTCCTGGACCACCTGTCCCACCCCCGCGATCTGCCTGTAGGAAGTCGGGTCTTTTCAGGCAACGTATAAGGAGATCATAACAAAGACCCCGAGCCCTCGAGCCCTCGAGCGCCTATAACCCTAAAGCCTAAGCCTAAGCCCTTAAACCCTGAACCCTAAGCCCCCCAAACCGCTAAACCCTAAACCTCCAAAACCCCTAAACCTCCAAAACCCCCACACCCTAAACCCTAAACCCTAAACCCGAAACCCTACACCTCCAAAACCCCTACACCCTAAACCCTAAACCTCCAAAACCCCTACACCCTAAACCCTAAACCTCCAAAACCCCTACACCCTAAACCCTAAACCTCCAAAACCCCTACACCCTAAGCCCTAAACCTCCAAAACCCCTACACC